TTAATTTTCATCTGGAACGCAATACTTCTGTAGGCCTAAAGCTGTAAATTAACAGCTTGTACAGCTGTAACTACATCTTTGAAGTCTGTATATATGCTATCACAGGCAAAACTATCCTGGAATAAGCTGGCCCCCCATCAGACGTGGGATGGCCACACTTCAACGAATGACAAGTTATCCCTTAGTAAATTGTGTGTATGCAATCTTGGCCTGGTGCGGGCTAATTTCAATACGTGTTTCATTAAAATTTAAACAAGTGCCGCAGAGCGACTGGGCTCATCTAAGGTCTGTTGCTACGGTTATAAACGTAACATTTCAGTCGTGCGTAGTGACACCTTTGTTAGGTGCAGATATGCAGATACCCAGTTGCGTACACATCATTTCAGCAAACATTTTTTTTAATGCAGAGAGAGAGAGCGAGAGAAAGGAAGAGAGAGAGAGGGAGAGAGTCAGCCTAAATTGTTTGTAAACAAATAACACCCACGCAGCGCGCTACTGTATAAGTTACGTCATCGATTGAAATGTACATTCCTGCCTCGCGGCATCCAAACTTTCGACGAAGATGGCGGGCAGAGGTACGGCAGACGCACGTATAACGTACAGATTTCTTCAATGTCGGGGAGGATCAAAACATTTCAACTGACAATCGGGCTCTGCAGCGTCCACAAGCCAGCATGCTCCACCATATCCCGACATTGCACACTACTGTAACGTCGACGGAGAGAGCCATGCCAAGGACAGTACAAAACTGTCAAATTTTCATTGGTAGGTTTGACGATTCATTTCTGCAATAACTTATCTCAAGATTGATTAAACTGAATTAAGAAAGTAATTCTTTCTGCACTTTTGAGCGCAATATACATTTGACCTATCCTGCTGGGACATTCTTCTCACTCTGTTCCGATAGATGGCGTGCATACTGACTATCTGCAGGGAATAGATAATCCGAACTAGTTGCTACCTTCGTTTAGCCCATGCTGTGATACAATCAGCCACCCACCTGACACGCAACTAGGGCCTGCATACCTCCCAAATCCCATTAGTTGATACAAATCACGTGCCTGAAACTCCCGTTTTATGGTGCATTGTGACCCTAACCCTAACCCTATTTTTTTTTTTATAATTTAATTGTTGTAAAAATTATTTGTTGTTATTAAATTGTTGTAAATAAATCATGTATATATTTGCGTTAATTGGGCAAAAATAGTTAAATGGATAAAGATTAATAAAAGATTGTAAAAATTCAGAAAACAGGAAAATAATTAAAAAACAGATGGGATTCGATCCAACGACCTTTCAGCCGTGACGCCCGTGCTCTACGCATTCGGCTATTCAGGCTTATGCGAGGTAGAACTATTTATAGTTGGCCTTAATCAAAAACAGACGTTTGCGATCATCTAGAGTATCTCATATAGAGAATGAAGTTCATATATGATTTAAGGCGCGTAAACGTTGTTCAAGTAAGTTTTGCATGCAGAATTTCACTGTGAAGTCTTCCACGATCACACAAGTACCGTCAAACACAGTTCAGTCCTTTGTTAACAGTCAACAAATCCATGTTTAACCCTCCTCTTGAGGGTCAAACGGTTATCAGACACTTACTCTTCGCACGTGGAAAGCACATTTCATGGTCCTTTCAATAAAGGGATAAAAATGGTAGGTCAGCGCTGAAACAAAAAAGTTTTTCACTCTGTCCATTAGGCCATGTCCTCAGAAAATGTCTGATATCTGACCTTTCCCCCACTGCCCTTTGACCTGTGACCTCCAATTTTGCACTAGTGATGGGTTTCCTGCCCATCACACTATACACCAAATATTAAGAGGTACACCATAGTTTGAGCCGTTCTGATTTGTGCTGCAATTCCGTATTTCCTCCTATACCTTAAGTTAAGGGGGAAATATTCCCCCTCCGTTGACACATCTTGACCTTTGACCCTTGCCCCCCAAATTGATCATCCCGAATCTTTTTCACGATCCCCCCCACCCCACCAACGTCCCGAATATCGTGACCGTACGTCGAGCGGTTAAGATTTATTCCCAACTGTTAACGGACGCACGCACGCACGCACGGACGCACGCTCATGCGATTCTACAAGCTGCATCTGACTTTGACAGATGAGCTAAAAACTAAATATTAAAAATAGGGGTACTATTTAATCATGATTGCTGTCTGCTGTATGGGTAACACACTAAACTTGCTGATTTACCCAGTTGAGTATTTTGTGTCAGTAAGCTACGATTTATAGGTTCTAGGACAAATACCCCGGACAATCACCCCCCGGACAATTACTCCCGGACAATTACCCCCCGGACAATTACCTCCCAATGCTCATTCACCCCCGCGTACAAATCACCCGCGCCTGACAATTACCCCGGACAATTAAACACCGTGCCCCGACATTTACCCGCCGACAATCACTCCCCCGACATTTACCAACCCGGACAATTACCCCCCGGACAATCTTACCCCCGGACAATTACCCGCCGACCATTTACCCCCGACAATTACCCCCCGGACAATTACCCCCGACATTACCCGCCGACATTTACCTCCGGACAATCACTCCCCCCCCGCCCCGACATTTACACCCGGACAAGGTGGAAGAGGGAAGAAAGGTGATGGAGGAGGAAGTAGATGAGGTGAGGAGGAGGAGAGGAGAGGAGGAGAAGTGGAGGAGGAGGAGAGGTGAAGGAGAAAGAGGGGGAGAACGTGGGGAGGTGGCGGAGAAGAGGGGAGGAAGAGGAGGGTGAAGAGGAGGAGTAGGAGGTAAGGAGGAGGAGGGGGAGAAGGTGGAGGAGAACGGAGCAGGACGGAGTTAGAGGACGGAAGGAGAAAGGTAGAGGAGAGAATGAAGGGGAGGAGGGGGAGAGCGGTGGACGGAGAGAAGAAATGAGGTGGGGAGGAGAGGGAGGTGTGTGAGGACGGAAGGTAGAGGAGGGTGCCTACTACCTCCTCCTATCTCATCCACTCCGGCCCTCGCTACTCCTCGCTCCTTCTCCACTGGTCGAGCAAGAGTATCGAGGACAATTAACGCTCCCGGACATTTACCACCCTTGGACATTATAGTAGGAGGAGATAGAGGACGACGGAGAATGTAGTGGAGGAGGAGTAGGAGGGGAAGGAGGGGTAGAGAGGTAGAGAGGTGGAGGTGGTGGTTGAGGAGGAGGAGGAAAGGAGGGGAAATGTGATGGTAGGAAGGAGGAGAGGAGCGAGGTAGCGCGCCCTCCTTACTCCTCCACTGCCGTTCTCTCGCTCCTCCCTCCTCCTGCCTCCTCCTCGCACGCTATCTCCCCTCATCTCCTCCACTACCTTTCTCCACCAAGTCTTCCCTCCTTCCCACCTCCTCTCTTCCTCCTCCTCCCTCCCTCTAACCTCCCTGTCTCCTTCTCCTCCTCCTCCTCCTCCTCGCTTCCTCTCCTCTCCTTCTCCCTCCTCGCTCTACTACACCACCTCTCACCCCTCACTGCCTCATTCACCTGCCTCTCCTCCTCCTCCTCCCTCCGCCTCCCTTACCGTGCCACTCTTCCACCCTCTTCTGCCTCCTTCCACCACTTTCTCCCCGTCCTTCTCTCACCATTGGCCCTTCCGCTACCTCCTCCCTCTTCTACACTCATCCTCCTTCAACCTTCTCCATTCCCCGCTTCTTCTTCCGCCATCGGTTCTCCCCCTCCTCCTCCACCTCGCTCTCTTCCTGCCTCCTCCTTCTCATCACTCTCTCCTGCCTCCTCCCCCTTTTGAACCACTCTCCTCTCTCACTCTCCTGCCTTCTCTCCCCTCTCCTCCTCCTCCACCTTCGCCCCCTTCCTCCTCTCCTCCTTCCCCCTCTCTTCTCCTTCCGCCTACGCTCTGTCCCACGTTATCCCTCTCCTGCCTCCCCTCCACCTCCACGCTCACTCCCTCCTCCTCCTTCTCCCCCTCTCTCCTCGCCACATCTCCCCGCTCACTCTTTCCTCACCACTTGTCTCCCCCTCCTCCTCTCTCCTCCGCCACCTTCTCCGCACGTTTCCCTTCTCCTGCCCCCTCCACCTCCCCCTCCTCCTCCTCCCCTCCTCGTTTTCTCCCGCTCCTCCGCCTCATCCACCTCCTCTCCTCCTCCTCCTTACTCCCTCTCCTCTTCCTCGTCCACTTCCCTCACATCCTCATGCCGTCCTCCTGCCTCCCACCTCCTCTCTCCTCCTCCTCTTCACCTTCCCCTCATCCTGCCTGCCCCTCCACCATTCTGCTCCCTCGCTCCTTCCTCATCCACCTTTTCCCCACGTTCCCCCTCTCCTCTGCGCACCTCCTCTCTTCTCTGCCTCCTCTTCCTCCTCTCTCTCACCAGCCTTCTCCTCCTCGTCACTCCCTCCACCATTCCTGCTCCCCTCCTCCTCCAATTACCACCTCTCAGCCCCCTCCTGCGCTGCCACCACACGCTTCTTCTCGTCTCCTCCTACTTCAACCTGCCTCTCTTCATCGCTCCTCCTCCTTCCTCCTCCTCCTCCAGCCACCTTCTTCCCTCGCTGCCTCGACCTTCCTCCCTTATCACTGTTCAGCGCAATGAATTAATAAACAACAAGTGAGTAAATGTCCGGGGGTTGTATTGTCCGGGGATAGGGTAAGATGTTTCGGGGTACATATGTCGGTGGGGTAATGGTCCGGTTAAATGGTCTGGGGTAATTTTCCGGGGGTAAATGTCTGGGGGGTAATTGTCCGGGGGGTAAATGTCCGGGGGTAATTGTCCAGGGGTAATTGTCCTGGGGTGATTGTCCGGTGGGTGAAAGGCATGGGGGTAAATGGCATGGAGGGTAATTGTCCGGGGGGTAATTGTCCGGGGGAAATTGTCCGGGGGGTGATTGTCCGGGGGGTATTTGTCCTGATACCAATTTATATATCGTCTGGTCCAGGCATGGACCGGAACAGTTTGATGAAGTGGTCCTGTATAGCAGTATGCACAAGGTATCAACTGTATGATTTTCTATTTAAAATATATCTAACTTGTGTAAAAAAAGAGTATCCCAACCTTTTCTGGAATTCAGTGGGATAACTGCAACACGCAGCCTTATCTGAGAGAGTGGCAGAAACAGCCCCTTTCCTATTGGGCACTCGAAGTACTGCTTTTCATTCCAAACTCCATCAGTTGCCGCAGTCTGTAGAATCTCTGAAGAAGACTGTAAAACATAGATATTTAACTTAGGAACAAATTCCGTGTTACCTACGCACTTGCAGAATAAAATAAAATAATGATAACTTCATGATTATTATTAACAGCTATTCAATAATGATCTCAAAGTTCATGAGCATTACCTTAGCATGCCAAGCTTATTAGACTAGTGACTTATCGTAGTGTGGCACGCTAGTCTAAATAACCATGTGGTACTGCTAGGTGTATGTTAGCCATAGAACACTATAATCCAAAGGGGTGCAGAAGTAAGAGATCAGGACGAGAATTTTTTAAGGTTCTTAACTACACGCATCATAACTTTGACACATTGGATCAGTGTCATGCAATAATAAAATTTTGGAGTTACGGCACATATCCAGCATTGGCAGACAGAAACCCTGGATTTATGTACAGCTACACTATACTATCATACTAATGTATTATCATTATTTTTAATAACTTGTAGTCATAATTACAGTCATCTCTATTCCAAACATGGTGCCTTTGAATCCAAGTACAGTGCCCCTATATCTAACGATGCCACTGGCTGCTTTAGATAGGCCATGCAGGTAGACATCAATTAAATCCCCTTCCTTGATGCTGCTTCCTTCTCTCAGCCACTCATCATTATGCAGCACCTACAGGTATTACATGAATAACATAGGGTTACACTAAGAACTTGACATTGTGACTATAACATAGCTGTTCTCCTTGGCATTTTATGATGTGTGTACCGTGACTACCGTCTCACTACCCCACAGCGGTGACAAGGATTTTGACAGCTATTGACTATGTGTCTTGTCTAACAGTATTCGTCTTAAAGCACGTACTTTCTGAATAATTACACAGTCAAACATAAATATATGATAGATGTATTAATTTAATTTTAAGTATTCAAAAAATTGGTACAAAATCAACATGCAACAATGTTGCTACACGGGTTAAAATATGCGAAATTTCCTCGCCCTAATGAGAAACGGATGAGAACCGGAACTTGAACCTATTGCAATGGTGGAATATAAGCATCTAACAGAATATTAGAGTAGTGAAGATGTCAATGAAGATCGTCTATTGAACATAGAATAGTGACACAACGGCTATACGTTCTCTGGGCTGCCATTACTAAGAGATAACAAACTACCACTCAAACATTGGTAAACGGATACATCACACTACTGGAGCAGCTCACTATTTTGTAGCATTAGCACTCAACTGCACTGCATTATTTGCACGGTGTATTTCATGCAGGTATGAATGTGGCAACTGCCAAGAACTGGCTACTGACGCGGAGACAGTTTTCAGCAGGAAAACTTCAGTGTGTATGCCTATTCCATGTTCAATCGACGATATTTGTTGACATCGTCATTGCTGCTTTCATCATCCTCTGTTACAGTCAATAAAGTGTTCCTCATGTAGAGTGCAGACATCCCACTGCACTGACGTGACTTCTGTGCAATGCCTTTAACGTGTACTGACACATTATTCTAGTTATTACAATGTGCTCACGTTTAAAGATAAGCCCTTTCTGAACAATCAGTTTAGCACGGCAGTGAAAGTAGAAGCAAAGAATGGGGCAGTGATTTATATCCCCGCTGTCAGACGAGCCTGCCATGATAATAAACCATGCTGTAATAAACCATTGCAGTGCTCTGTTATTCTTAGTGCTATCTTTGATACTGTCGAGTCACTCTTGTGGGAAAGGACATGTATTCAAAGCTGTTAATTATCCATTGGTCTTTTTCCTCAACTGGTATGAAAGCACGGGATAGTGTATCAGCATTGTACATTTCCGTGTTAGTCTTGTACTGTATGTAGACATATATCTGTAGGCATACATGCGCTTGCCATACACATACTGGCCATGCTGCTCTAGTATGTACATTCCCGTTTGACATTCTTCCAGTTTTCACCTCTACGAGCACGATATTTGAAATTGAGTGAATTACGGGAGTGGGTGCAGAACTTGCTTATCTCTAGTTCTTTTTCTGTTCGATTACTACTTTGGACACCATGCAAGGCTAGTGAATTGAAAGGAGCGATATCACCAATAAGACATCATTATAATGTTTCATTCCAGTGACGGGCACAAACTGTGAGCTTAAACAGACTGCTGCTTACTGTCAGCTAATTGTCAAGATGGCAACATCGCAGTTGGCCTACTCGCATTTCGTCTACTTCCCATTTCGTCTACTCCCATTTCGTCTACTCTCAGAATGGGTAATATTCCCATTTCGCCTACTCTCAGAATGGGTAATATTCCCATTTCGCCTACTCCCATTTAGTCTACTCTCAGAATGGGTAATATTCCCATTTCGCTTAAACTCCCATTTCGTCTACTCTCAGAATGGGTAATATTCCCATTTCGCCTACTCTCAGAATGGGTAATATTCCCATTTCGCCTACTCCCATTTCGTCTACTCTCAGAATGAGTAATAACGTGTAGGTGGGACACCCTGCCTTTTCTTTAACTTTATGCGACTATAACTACTCAAATGTGTGAATGGCTTTGTAACCCAGCACAAGGCACGGACGGGAACGAGAACACTATTACGTCACTGACCACCGGTCAACCCCAGCAAAGCGATGGCGTTAAGGATAGCACCACTGACCCAGTAGAGGGCCGATAGACTAGAAGACCGAACAGAGAATGGGAAGAACAAAGGAAGCGTCACAGTATGCAGAGATGAACACGACCCAGTGACCAAGAGGAAAGGGTCGCACGGAATACCTATAACGTAAATAAGGGGAAATTTAGCAGAAAACATATAGTATGCTGGAACGACAGCACGGGGCATCGACTAACCCTCGACGAGATGGCACCTTATACATAAGATGGTTTCACCTTTAGGCTAGTTAGATTGTGTGTCATATTGATTGTATTCGTGATGATAATGCTAGTTCGTAGTACGGTTAAGTGTTCTTAGAAGGATATGTGTTGTGGTGACTAGCACGCATTTATGATACCGCAGCAATACTCGCGTTGTCGGAAGGCTAACGTAATTAGGGGGGTTCGTAACACGTCAATCGTGATAGTTCGTGCCGTAAGGTACACGATCGTAACGCAATGAGATTATAATATAATAGTAACGGATTAATCGAGTTGTTGCGTTAACAACGGTAGGACCAGCGCTTGTAGGCAAGCGTCTGGTAGTAATTAGAATATTGACGAATTTATAACGGATGTGGTTCTGCGTTTGTATTGTATGGTAAAATGAGGTAATTATTAATAAACGACATCGTATTTTACCTATAATCCTGCGTGGAGCTTGTTTATCGATAACTGGGTTTACTATCACGAACTGGACTATTCCTTCACAAGGTACTAAGTATAAGTACGGTCACGCCGTCGCTCATGGGGTTTAGTAATAAACACCCGGTGACATAAAATGGTGCCGTGACCAGGATAGAAAATTTCAGTTATGTGATATGCAAGCTCGAACGCATGAGTAGCCTAATCAGATTTTTTCCAGCTGTTAATGCACATTCCGTTTCAGCAATCGTAGGGCTAGTTAAACGGGGGGTCCGCGGGCTTAAGGTAATCTATTTTGGGGACACTAGAGCTAGGGCGTACAATGGCGCAAGAAGTACTGCAGATCAATATGGGCGATATTGTACAGATCATGGGGCAGGCACTTAACCCCGTGGTAAGGGAGATAAGAGATGAGATGAAGCTGCAAGGCATATGCCGAGAAGTAAGAAAATTTACTGGAGATGCGAGAACAGATAACATGAAATTTAGAGAATATGAGAGACAGTTAGAGGGAATAGGCACACGCCTGGGGGCGAACGCGGACCTAAAGGAGGAACTACTAATGACTACGGCAGGGCCGGCATATGATTTTTGCATTCAGCAAACAAGGGAGAATGCGGGGAGGAGCTATTAGATCTAATGAGGGAGAGATTCGGGGATCAGTTTGAACGGCTAGCCGCGAAATAAGACTTGAAGAGAATCATGCAAAAACGAGATGAGAGCATACAGGAGTTTTAGGAACGAATCACGAGGGTATATAGTACGGCTTATCCAGGAGACATAGGGCAGGCACCGGGAATGCAGGGGACTTTAGTCGAATCTTTCATAGACGGATTGTCTAAGAAGGCGATCAGGAGAAAATTAATAGCGCAGAACCCTAGCACCCTACAAGTGGCAGCAAAATTAGCGAGAGAAGAGTATAGATTAGACAGAGAGGTAGTGTTACCGCCAGTTTAGTCTGTTGGTAATAGTAGTTGGAATTTCTAATAATTTAGCGATCTAAATGTTAATTTGACCTGTACCGAGCAGCTTATGATACAGTGGCTCCACCTATGGGGATTCCTAGCCAGGACTGGTCGGTGCTGCCACCTGGTGGATTAGGTGTTAATCGATATAGAAGATCGCAAGATTGCAGGAGAGAAGAAACGTGCATTTATCGTTGATGGTAAATTTTCCGTTCTTGTGTGTTTAAAGCAAATATTATGCTCCAATCTAGTATTAAAATAGTTTCTAAGGTGTTATAGGATATGTAGGAATCCGCCTGCGTGTTGAATAGTGGATTATGTGTGAGTTAAGGGTGGTTTGATGCTGGTATAGTTGACAGCCTTTGTGTGGGGCCATTCTGTCATTAGGATTTTTAAGTGTTGAGCTTTGGTAGGAATTTAGGACATAAATTAAGGATGTTTGTGACTATTTACATGAGTGTATAATTTAGGTGATACCTATAATTTGTAAGCTATTCAAGTACAAATTAGATTGAAACTATATTGTGTAATTTTATTTGTATAGGCCAACGGTGGTCGTTCTCTGTCGAGTCACAGTCAGGGCTTGATACCTGTGTATGGAATGCGGGTGCACAGTTCGTAAGTTTGCTAGTTTGTTTTCTACAATTATATGCCGAATGGGCCAATATACTCTAGTAGCTCATGGTGGTTTAGTATGCAAATTTATGTCCAGACCTAAACTCTTCAAGAATCCACTAATTGAAGGTCCAGGAACAATATTTGGTTGGTAACACATTTCCCACTGACGGCAAAATATCTTTTTGCCGTCACGCCCTTTTTCGAGCGAAGTACTACCATACACCGTGACTGTATCTACAGAACCGTTGGACCTAGGAGGTTGCCCGACCACTCAAAATGTGCGCAATGGCCACATTATGGGGGGTCAGTAATACATTTTCATATCCAAAAGTCAATGGTTTTTAAGATAATTGCCCAAAACCGATTTCTGCATGTTACACACTACAATTATTCATAACTGTTCCTGTTCCTATTGTTAACCGTTACTGAAACCCTAACCCTAATCCTACAGAAGTACACAGATCGCGAGGAGGGCTCTTTTACTAGCTTCACAACAACAATGAGTGCACTCCAGGATCCACTGAAGTTTGATATTACAAAGACAGCATTTGTACCCATCCTTCCATATGTCGCAACCGAAATGGACACAATATTTACATCCATGATGAACTTTCAGGATGTCTTGAAGCAAAAGAATGCCATGTCAGGGGCATTGTGGTCTGATGAAGGGGTGTATGCAATCGCCAAGGAAATCCAGCTGTTGAAGCCAGATCAGTTTGGTAACATATTCCTTGGAATGGGACCATTTCACATGGAGAAGATTGTCATCGCTTGCCTTGGGAAGTTTTTAGGCTGTATCGGTATT